GTTAGTTCTTACTTTTAGTGTAAAAAAATGGCAACAAAAATTTTACAAATTTTACCATAGAAAAATTAGATAGATTCGTGACGTAGTCAATTTGTGTAGAACCATATGTGTTAGCTGACCATGCCATATATTCGATATAAATGCATGCCTATTTGTACATGTGTGTACACGTAGGTAAAAAATACACGGGAGCGATGAGCGATGAGCTCTTCAAACCTCCGAAATCGCTCCCGTGAGGCTCAAAATAGCTCCCGTGAAATTTTTGACAAGAGTTATTTTTCCCACAGACTTGAAAAAGAGCTCCCGTGAAAAAAATGTAAAAATCTTTTCCCCTGGTGTACACCCTGCATGGTGAATCTGAAACGATTATATACATTGACACGCTGCAGATACATCGTCAGCATCTAAAAGAGGCACAAGAGAAGTCGCGAGTGCTAGAGGATGCCCTTCATGCATTGGCAAAGGAGCACCATGAACTAGAACATTCATTGGCCATGTCTGTGCGGTCCGAAGGAAAGCAGGAGTTTTACTCACCTTTCCCCTCGCCCCAGCAGTACCAGAGCGACGATGACGACATTTTCTTTGATGCAGATGATGGTGAGTGAACTCATACTGAATGTTGTCCTCCCACATGCCTTAATTGCCTAATCGACATGTCTTAATTGCCTAATCAACATGCCTTAATTGCCTAACGACATGCCTGAATTTTCATCTGATTCACAATCCCAACACAGTCGTGTTGATTTTGCTCAGCTTCAAATGTAAGTCAGCAAACTGATCAAGTTTACCTGCCTGCATATTGGGGCTGCTTATGACACACGTGATGGACTCCATTTAGCAGTCGGGGATTAATTTTTAGATTGCCGAAAATGCTTGCTAAAATTCTTGGGGTGAACCTTTGGTATTCGTTGGGCCCTGGCATGAATTGTTTTTCTGCTTTGCCATTATTATAGAATCATGAGACAGCTGATGGATTCATGTAGTTTCATCATGGATACGTTTAGTTATATTTTACCTCAGCATGTCAGGTGAATGGTGAATGGATATGTCAGTAAGAAGTAATGCATTGGTTACAATCTTGTGAAATCAGGGTTGAAAAGTAGTTGTTGTCTCTTTTATAAATCCGAAATATAAATATCTTCTTTTAATTAAAAGGTGAACGTGTTATGTGTAAAATTTTTTACTCTGTAGCCTAAAACATGATAGCTAATAATTAATGCACTTTTTTACGGTTGCTTATGTGTATAATTTATGCTTAATAATGTAATGAGTTAAGTCTGTCTGCGCCTCCAGGGAAATCGCATAGCCCTGATAATATCTGTGAAAAGCAAGAAATTTTCCAAAAAAAAAGAGAAGAAAAACAGGATAATTAATATAGGCAGGTCTTGTTTAGATAACTAATTTTTTTTATTTTGAACTAATCTATATATGATATAGCAGCTATATTATAGTAGTTATATATAGTAGTATATATATTTATTTTATATATTATATATATATATATAATAAGTAACGATTCCTTATGCCCCAGTCACACATACACGACGCACGGCCCGCGCACTGAAAATTAATCAAAAAATGGGAAATAGATCAGTGCGTCGTTGTGCGCCCAACTTTTGTCAGGATTTGGGAGAAGCTAGCGAGTTGACAACGAATGCACAGCGTGTTGCTAGCGCGCTGCGCGTATACAGGGCAATTTGATATATTAATCACGACTTTAAATGCTTGCTATGGGCTATGTATGCGTCACGACTGTTTGTTCACGCCGAACAGAATAGCAAAATAGGAAGTATAATGCAGCAATTTAACCATAAAAAGTGAACAGAAACACTTACATTTTGTGAAAAAGCGACAGGAAGTATAATGCAGCAATTTAACCATAAAAAGTGAACAGAAACACTTACATTTTGTGAAATAGTGGACATAATTTTTTTACGTTTACTATTTACAGTGACGTAATCACTTTAAATGAGATCTGCTAATAGATGTAACCATACTACTTTCAGTCTGCGGCTGAGTGAAATTTTGCGTGGATGCATGCTGTGGAAGTAAATAACGCTGAAAGGGTCGTTGTCGTATAGGGTACTACATATATGTACCCGAGGTAACTCAGGTAACTATCTGATATGGTTAGGGTTAGGGTTAGGGAGTAGGCGTAGGCGACTCCCTAGACAAGCATTATATTACATTTATGTATACATATATGTACCACCCTATATGACAACGACCCCTTCAGAGTAAATAACCCTAGTTATAGACTTTGGAACGGTGGGTCTCAGGTCAAACAAATTAGAGATATCACAAACCCCACAGCACCAGTAAACTCAAGCTCATATAGACCGCACCCAGTGTGATACCTGTTTCACTCGCTTAGTGATGAAATGAATGCAGTGACTAATTAATTGAGTTACTCAGAAAGTAACCTAATAGTGCTGTGACATGCTTGGCTGCTTGCATAGAACCGGTACAAGTGAGTTTTATCTTGTACTTTTATCTTTAGAATTTATGTAAATATGACTTGATCGCTGGTTATTATAAACCAATTGAATACGTTACTTTCGCATACTGTCGTTCATCTGTTATTGACAATTATGAAACGGATCCTGATTTTTGTTCGATCTGGTATTGTTAGATAGCATGGTCTGTGCATTCGAATTCCTTTCATTTGTCTGCAGGCTTTTGCCACGTCATTCAGCTAAGCAGCTGAAATTAACCGAGGGCCAATTAATGTCGGAGTGTATAATACTCCTTCATTCACTTCCGAACTGCCGGATTGGACAATCTTGAGATTCTTCATTAAATTTCTGAATTCTGTTTCGACAGTACATGAACCCCAGATCCTTCAACACGAAATTTTTCTCTTTCGTCTTTTTTCAAACTATTACGCCATCGTTGCTACACACTCTTTCTACACTTATGGTAAGGTTAATAATTGTGAAACGATTTGACTAACTCATGATCATTGTGTATGCATTTCGAATTCAAAACCAATTGCTCTGGTTTCACTAATGCCCAGACATGGGTCATCCGGGTTCAGTAACAACTGTGGAATTGGTCTTGTGAAAGTTTCAGTATCTTTATCACTCAGCATCCAAACATTTAAAGAAATTTCCCCATGAAAACCGAATGTACAAATTATTGTGCCATCTAATCTGCAATCGTGTTGGTTACTTCCATAGAAATAATATAGGTAGACTAATATAGGTGTCTCCAGGAGCGTATAATGACAAATTGTCATTATTTGTCATTATACGCTCCTGGTGTCTCTATATATTTCTATGGTTACTTCCAACCAGTTCTCCTAGTTGGCAATTTGCCAGCAGCAACGCATATATCTGGCTATATCGTGAATTATATCTATGCTATGCTCGTACTCGTTCAGAGTATAGATATATGTTCATGGCTATATGTATGCCCAACGATGATAGTCTTAACTGCGTGCACGAATTCCAATCATCCCGTATTTGCGAGGCGATTGCAGGTAATCTAGAAAGTAGTCAAAAGGATTTTGTGCTTGTGATTCAATCCATTAGCGTCTATATAATTCTTAGCTCTATTACTATAGCCCCCGTTGCCACTGCCACAGCCCTGTGCCAGTGTTTATTACTAGAGCTATATAATTCTACGCATGCAGAACTCAGTGTAGGATACTTTACGAAAAATCAGTAAGAAGCCAAATTAATGACTGTTTCATCGAGAAACATTAAATTTGATGACATAAAATGCGCGCCACGGCATTTGTCTTCAGCATCCAGTATGGTAGATTTGGCAAAACTGTGGAACACTTTAGTCGCACGTAAGAGTGTCATGGTCTATGTGTTTAGGCCACGGTGCACGGGTTATCTTGAACGAGGAATGGTCGTGAGGAATGCGATGATTGTATAGAGCTGATTCTGACGGTGTTGAGGTTGCTAAGTGATTTTTATGGGCAATGTAAGTAAAGTTATATATGTCATTTCGTTGCTTAGCAGTATGATAATTAATTTCCAGGTAATCTATGGTGAATCATGTTATCATTGCACTGTTCGTCGGAGTTACTGTCACTCACTCAGAATGAATATACATTATTATCTGTACCGTTGCCACATCCAAAATAATCTCAACATTGCTCCCCTGCTGCGGAGCGCGATATCATTTCTTGATATAAGTTAGGCATTTATGTCATTTGATGCCCATGGAATCTCTGCCTCTATCTGCCTATCTACCCCCTCCCCATTCATTAATCTATATGCTTTCTCCATCCCCCTCACAGCTACACACTAATTAGTCAGTTACATGGTTGCATTGGCACTGTGAATAATTATACTAATGAGCAGGGGTGCACAATGACCTCAATATGGGTCAATATTCACCTCCTGCGATGACGAAATATCTCAGGTTCTGAATGGTACGCGATCCAATTAAGCTGTGCTCTAAGCCAATGTACTGCAAATTAATGCACTAGTCAACTGACACCCCCACCCCGACCCCCGGGACGGGTGGGGGAATTAACGGGGATATGCGGGGAATTTAACGCGCATTGAACAGCGTAAATTCCCCGAGGGGCGGGGAATTTAATGCGTACCTTGAATAGCGGGGGATTTAACGCTGAACCGTTAAACAAGATGGGAGATCTCGTGTGTATATATGTGTGCGTGCGTGCATGTGTGCGTGTGTGTGTGTAAGTGCGGGCGTGTGTTGTGTGTGTGTGTGTGTTGTGTGTGTGTGTGTGTGTGTTGTGTGTGTGTGTGTGGTGTGCGTGTTGTCGTCGTGCCGTTGCGTGCGTCGTGCGTGTCGTGCGTGCGTCGTGTCCGCGTCGTGCATTGTATGTGCTTGCGTGCTGCGTGCATAGTGCGAGTTATATGTAAAGCATAATTTCGACCATCGAGATGTCAAAAGTTGACGAATGCTACAGTACTGGCACCTGTGTATTAAAACATTACCGTAACCAAAACGCGTATATAGTTTGTCCACAATATCACGCTAACTACTAAGAATGTCTAACTGAAATCCGTAAATTTGTAACTGGCGACCACGCTCCAATTATTGCCACATAAATAAACATCGAGTTCGGTCGGTGACTTCACATGTGCACAGGATGTTGACATCGATTGTTTGTCCGGTAATTGTTTGCCTAGTGCTTAATATTTGCCTAGTTGCCACATATTATATGTTGCTGTAATTCAAGAACTTCGTAATTCCATTATTCCCTGAGTCTCCAAGAGTAAAACATGAACTACGAATGCGCACTTCAGACTTACAAGATCGAAATCACTGAAACGCCGAGCAACGTGCGAAAATGTCCGTGCACTATAATGCGTATATCAGCCGCCTCGCCGGTTACGGCCGTTACGCCGGCATAGCGGTTGAAACTGTCAACAACGGATTATTGACCGCGGATTCAACTGGATATTCTGTAGTAACCACATGAATATTGGACAAACTAATACGCCGTTGGGCTATAAGTAATGTACTTATAACTTACACAACCCCGTGCCCGCTACTGAGCATTCGTTAAAATGCATAAATCAATGGTCGAATGATGCGCTTTAAATAGAAACATTGTAAATATCATTGTACGTTCTTATAATTACGTTTACCTGTACGTTTGGAATAAAATCACATGTAGTGTTATAGCAATATTTTCACTCAGGTATAAACTCTAGTTATCGGTATTCGGTCAGCATTTACATGCTCAGATTTTTGTGCGTACGCATGCTCTCAGCATCTATTACCGTATAACACGTAATGTTTTTGGCGAAATAGAATTCTTTTGAATACCACCTAAATCCTGTTTGTGCGTACGCACGATATTGTGCGTACGAACTCTCTTAATCTGGCCAGCTGGTCCTAAGGCTTATCACCTCGGGCCTAGCGCTATAGAGGGTTCCGCGATTTGCACTAAAAATAGCATATATTACCTACAATCCTGCTTCCGGTCGCGCTCACTCGGTTCCGAAAAAGAGCGAACACGTTTGCGTG